TCCGAGGCAGTATCACTATGGAAGTAGATTGCCCCATCTTCCTTCCGAGGAGTGGCTGGTGGGTTTGAACCGCCAGCCTTCTGGTTAGCAGTCATGTGCCTTTAGGCACTATGCTACCAGAGCTCCCATTAAAAGATACGGACAGTTCTATCTGACAATTTTATATATTACGGTAGCAGTTGTTGTTAGAAGCTAAAAATGAAAGGTTTGCTGAATGGCAGGCACTGGGTTATACACTATACATTATTATACAACTTATTCTACACAGCAACTCCATGAGGAAATTAAAACAGTCACTTGCTCAAGGATCACATGGCTAATAAGTAAAACCAGAATTTGAAAAAATGCTGTGTTCTTAACCACTGTTACTAGTCACTTGTCTAAGGAAAGAAAGCTCAGAATATATGATCTTTTTACATTCTCAAAACTTAGACAAATCTTAATCTCAAATGTAGAAAAAACCTTTTACACAAGAGTATTTTATTTGTTCCAAAAAGACAGTAAAATTCCAGTAGGGACCTTTGGTGGGTGGATTGCTGAGGAAGAACAAACCCCCATAAACCACCTCCTTCCTGTCTTCACAGAACACATGGTTTCTTAGGAAGCTTTAAATGTATACACATTTTAAAAATAAGTCTTATGTTTCAAAATATGATTTTCACTCTACATCAGAAACCACAATTTAAAATTATACATCTGAGCAGAGTATTCTTACTTTGAGAACTGTTGTTGTTTGCCGTCAAGTTGGACCCAACTCATAGCGACTTCTCTTTGGGTTTCTGAGGCTGTATTACTACGGAAGTAGATTGCCCAACCTTCCTTCCGAGGAGTGGCTGGTGGGTTTGAACCTCCAGCCTTCTGGTTAGCAGTCAAGTGCCTTAGGTACTACATTACCAGAGCTCCTGCTTTGAGAACTAGGGACTCAAAAAAGAGGGAAAATTCTGTGTACAAAATCTGGTGCTCACTTTCAACAAGAAACTTACAAGTAACTAACCTCCTTTTCTCCTATTTTGTCAGGAGATAATCTATACTAGGAGGATAGCCTGGGTGGGTAAGCAGTAGGTACATTAATCGAAACAGCATAGAATAAAAACTTATAAAAGATAAATCCTATATATCCTAAAAAACAAACAATAATTTAAAAAAAAAAATTTTTAAACCTTTCTTGAAGATCCATCTATCCAATGACCACCTATTATGTACTAGACATAGTTCAAACCACCTGGGATAAATCACTGAACAAAACGACAATCCTGACTTGGTGGAGCTCATATTCCAGTAGATGTTAACATCCTTCACCAACTATTTTCTCCGAACATAATAATCCAAGCATTAAGAAGTACCAAAATATGTTCTGAAGTCACTGTCAGACAACTGCCAGTTCCTGGTTTGGCTTCTGGCAGGCACTGGCTTCCTATATTAGCACAGAGCTGGTCCCTGGACACAGACTGCTTGGTTCCACTTCATCTACTTCTGTCTCCTCTACATGCTCTACTGCATGACCTTGGCTAAATTACTTAATCCTCATCTCTAAAACAAAAATAGGAGCTCTGGTAGCATAGTGCCTAAGGCACTTGACTGCTAACCAGAAGGCTGGCAGTTCAAACCCACCAGCCACTCCTCGGAAGGAAGG